CTGGCTTTTAGGCAGAAACAAAACATTCCATATAGATTAGGACACACGCTTCGCGTGCTACCAGACCTCTCTACACGCTGCAGCCCAAGTTGCACAGGGTTAAGCCTCTGCACAGTGTCACACCACGTCGAAGCACACCATGCCTGTAAGCAACTGCAGAGACGGAGCATTCAGGAAGCTTGTCCTTCAACTTGAGCGAGATCCAACGCTGAAGGCATGCATTCATACGATTCTGGAATATCCAAAATGGTATAAGGCCTAGTATGACATTTCAGAATGACAACACGAAATACTACTTCAACCTTCAATATGACATTGGCATCAAAGCTTTGGAATATCATGCATCCGATGGGTTCATTATCAAATGATCACCCACTAAAACTGAGAATCCATCTCCTTGAAGACTGATCTGAGTATTTCAACTTCAGAAAAAGTTTGAAGGTTGACAGAGGGAGAGAGAGAGAGAGACAGAGAGAGAGAGAGAGAGAGAGAGAGAGAGAGAGAGAGAGAGAGAGAGAGAGAGAGAGAGAGAGAGAGAGCGAAGAGAGAGGAGAGAGATAGAGAGAGAGAGAGAGAGAGAGAGAAGGAGAGAGAGAGCGAAGAGAGAGATAGAGAGAGAGAGAGAGAGAGAGAGAGAGAAGAGAGATGAGAAGAGAGAGAGAGAGAGAGAGGAGAGAGAGAGGAGAGAGAGAGAGAGAAGAGAGAGAGAGGAGAGGAGAGAGAGACTAGAGAGAGAGAGGAGGGAGGAGAGAGAAAGAGAGGGAGAGAAGAGAGAGAGAGAGCTAGAATCCTAGAGAATCTCTGCTTATATTCCTTAGAGGAGAGTAGAGGTTGAGAGTATAGAAGATAGAGAGAAGGAGAGAAGAGAGAGCCTTAGACGTCAAGATCGGGAGTAGGAGCTCGCTCTAGGATCGCTCGGGAGCTCCTTTCGAGAGAAGGCTCTAGGAGAGAGAGAGAGGAGAGAGATGAGAGGATAGAGAGAGAGAGAGAGAGAGAGAGAGAGAGAGAACATGGTATTGCACATCAATATCTGTGCGGTGTAGAACTTAGTTACAACATTGTAGGTAAAAAGTATTACTGTATTCTGTTATATAGAAATATAAATAGTCAAAATTTGCGCAGTTTCAAATTTGTGCTGTGGGGCACGTATATCACAGATCAGCGTGATTCTCCCTCAAATATCCATGCTTATTCAACTCAGGTGGTTTCATCTCAAAGCAGGTAGATATGCAAGTGAAGGCACGAGCTGCTTCGACTTCAGCAACCGTTGGTGAGTTAAGTCGTTAGCCACACAGTAACTAGCCTTTCTAGACTCAAGACGTGTCCCCTTCAAAACGGAACTCCTTGTCAGCACACTTTGGAAGTAGGCGGCATCCAGATAACGTGACAGGGCCTTTTCGACGAGACCAAGATCACGTGACGGATATCTGACACAAAATTTCAAATAAAAAAGGCTGCGATTATCAGATAGACAGATTTCATTCTGCAACGCAAGATGGGATTTTCAAGGAGTGCTCATAGCACACAACACGAAGCAATAACTTTTAGCCAGGTTCTCTCCCACTAAAGGTTATTGTTTTGCGATTTCGTGTCGTCATATCAAATTCAAACTTTGAACTCTGACCCCATGTATCCGTGTTCTCGATGGAATACACTACAATAAATATATACGTGTGTTTCGTCAAACTAGTTACAGCACATTCAATTCATTTCATTACAGCTTATACATTACGTTATGATATCAAGGGTGTGAATCTCTTCGAATCAACTAAGACAAAGTTTCTCCCTGGCACATGGATCAATCACAAATTTGCAAGTCTGTCGCGCTGCATCAATATCGATATTCGTGAGGCGAGAGCCGTATTTTTTCGGTAGACTAAGAAAAGCGTACTCGATACCAGCACCACCCATTTTACACTGTGCCGTCATCTCCCAACAATTCTCGATTTTGCCACTTTCCACACTACCGGTACCTGGTGGATTAAGCATGAAGTAAATATCACGAAAAACATCAAAGAAAAATTGCCAAAGAACAATCACAGGAAATGTCTCGCATTTGAGAATATTGAAGCAGGCATTAAATATGATGAAACAAGCTCATTTATAACAATTGGTATGTTCATTGATAACAATATAACAAGTGGAAAGGACTGCTTGAGCGAGCGTAATTCTCTGTTTAGTAAATATGCTCCTCAATGCGTTCTGGTTTGATTACGTCACCGTACCTTTCACAGCATTGATTGAGCGCTCCTTGACGGCCGTTAGATCTGGAAATTGTGCTCGCGAACACCAAATATAAACCACTTGACAATGACACCTTTTGGCCTTGATCGCCGGATGGCTTATAGAATGCCAGGATTGACTGACGTTATGATGACGTCTTGAATGCCAAGGTGACTGAAATACTCCCCCTCCCCCGCCGATATACCTGTGATCATTTTCGCGGGCGCTTTACTCAGAAACTAGAGGGGCTTAGGCCTTAAGAAGGGCAGGATTGTGAACAGTACTGGAAGGTCTTCAAAATGGCTATTTCAGTGAAGCCTTCACATGAATGTGCAACACTCCCTTTAAATTTACCTTTTATCAAAATGTTTGTAAAGAGCAAAGCTGTGCCATTCTGAGAATGCCCCAGCATACCGTGGCAAGATGAAGGCTGAGATTATTTACGCATCATTGTGATATTTATTTGCAGTTGATATGCTGGTATGGGCTATAAGGGTTTACCAGTTTAGTTTTGCGGTACTGAAACATTTCTTTCGAGCAGTTACTTGAATAAGCCTACCGAAGGATGCACGAAGGTCACGCACAAAAAAAATGTGATAAGCTACCCTGCTTCCTCGTCCCACCACCAACTGTCGACAGCGGGGAAACCCTGAGTTGCATCAGGTGGCTGAGCGAATCGAAGAAGAATCTTACTGATGCCATCTTCAAGGCAGTGACGGTAAAAATCAGGAAACCGTGGATCAACAAAGGGATCCCTGCTCATGACATAAAAGACGTGACAAAGGCGATTAAAAAAGGCTGATGTAACCCGTGCGGAGCTATCAGCGAGAACCCCCGCCCCCCAAAAAAACCGTCGTCCCGAAACCCAAAAAGCTTCTCGACATGGCGAAATGTAAGTGCAAGTCCCAGCGTAGCTCCAATTGCCCCATTGCCCGCAGAGAGCTGCAATGGGAGGTTGTCTTCTTGAAGGACCAGCGCAGGCACCAGAAGTTTACCCTGGGGGCATGTGACCGGGCTACGACTGTGACCAGGGAGGCTGGCGAGGTGCGAAGGATGGCCAGACAGCTTCAGCCACGACAGGAGTGTCGTGGCTCAGCCGGCAGTGAAGCAGTGTGTACTGCTGAATCTAAGTCGCCTCCCCCCGCCGGCTGCTGAGTCAGCACCGCCAGCTGAGCCAGCGCCGCCAGCTGAGCCTGCGCCGGCTGCTAGTGCTGAGCTGGAGCCTGCTCTGGGACCACGTGGTCTCAGTGCTGGCGAGTCAACCGAGAACCCGGATTCTGGCACGGCTCCGTACATGGTGGAAGGTGGCGACGACGCCAATCGTGCATTTGGGGTGAGGCCGCTGTCATTGGAGATCTCAACTTAAACAGTCTGACCAACGCCACTCTGGCGGTTGACAGCTACAGTCGCTCGAACCGTGCCACTGCTGCCATCATCAACGTCTTCCAACACGACAGCAGAGACGGACTGCTGTTTCAAATCAAACATCTCAGATCTTAAGATCAAGCGTGCAAGAGATAGCGCCAGAAAGGAGACGGCTTGTCAAAATGTTGGATTTATCTACGCGTCATGTACAGATAAGACTTACATTAGCTACACACAGCAACGCAAAGACCGTCAAAGAATGCGTGGTTCTCATCACTGAGCCAGGCGGCCGTTCTGTAACCAATTTTACGCCCGCGTCTGGCCGCGCCCTGTACTTGTTCAGTGGCCGAGTCTGGCCGCGCCCTGTACTTGTTCAGTGGCCGAGTCTGGCCGCGCCCTGTACTTGTTCAATGGCCGAGTCTGGCCGCGCCCTGTACTTGTTCAGTGGCCGAGTCTGGCCGCGCCCTGTACTTGTTCAGTGGCCGAGTCTGGCCGCGCCCTGTACTTGTTCAGTGGCCGAGTCTGGCCGCGCCCTGTACTTGTTCAGTGGCCGAGTCTGGCCGCGCCCTGTACTTGTTCAATGGCCGAGTCTGGCCGCGCCCTTTACTTGTTCAATGAGCTACACTCTGTGAACCTGCAGTGCGACGGTCACGCCAATGTGCTGGGCTGCAATGGCGCGGCGCGTCAACACATATCAATAAATGTTGAAATTTTATCACGCATTTCATATCCGAATCGTCGTTGAGTTCATTGCAATAAATTTTGAAACTTCATCACGCATCAGTTGGTATTTTTTGTTGTTGCATGCTCACTAGTATATATATACATATATATATATATATATATATATATATATATATATATATGTATACACATGTGCATATATATACGGTAGTTATATGTTCCTCTGCGTTTAAGAACTCAGCATAATTACATGCACCAACCTTACCATAATATTAAGTCAGATACTTGATGACGTGATTTAACCAGTGCCTCATGACATCATGAGCGTTGTATATCTTTCACCTCAGGACTAAAAGTACGAAGAAGACGGTGTGCTTTCACTGCTCACAACAAATTTATGCTGACATCTGATGTTTGCCAAGTGGAATTACTGCAATGCGTACCAACAGCTGGACCAGCTGTCCCATGCCCTCTGCTTGCTCGTTCGACGTGACTGAACATCTCTGTCGCACAAGACGGAGATAAGAGGCGATTTGCAGCCTTCCTCCGAACTTAGTGAATACCGACGAAATTCCGGAGCCGGAAATCATCAGTCATCGATTGCATGAGCACTGAAGTACACATGGCATCGTTCTGAACTATTTACGGTCCGTGTGATTGAAAAATTAGCAGCCTGCCGTGTCGAAAGCCCGTACACGCCCTTTGAACTAACTCCGATCTTGTCGCACCTTGAGAGTTGCAAGCAGCGTGCGGAGGTTATCCATGGTGAGGTTGGCCTCGAGCCGGGCCAGGCCGTGCTCCATGTCGTCCGGCAACAAGAGGAAGACGGAGATGCGGCGGGTGCTGAGCGGAAGTTCTAGCACGCGCGCCTCCATGTCGCTGTTGTAGCCGAGTGGCACCAGCATCCTGCTCGTCATCATGGGCACCTCCATCCTGGGGAGGAAACATCAGCTGTCATTGTCCATACCTCCAGTTCGAGGCTGCAGCAAGGGAGTCGATGTCGCCGGCACTTTTTGCCTGGAAAGGCAGTATTAGGCGTCCACATGGGTACATCCAGTCTGGGGATACAACATGAACCGCCCCACCCTAGCACCAGCTACCTAAGTCCGCGGCAAAAGACATTAAAATCGGGGTCTGCTTGGAAGGACAGCACAAACACACGCCAGTGGTTATCGCGATCTCCAGGCTGGAAAAATAACACGAACACCGCTTTCCCGTGAGATCTGGAAGCACCTGAGCACTTGAACCAATCTTAGCCGTGAAGCAGCGCAGCAGGACCGGATGTATCGCCTAGTACATTCCACAAGGTCACAAATAGAACAGGCATGCGCTAACGTCTTCTGAAGCATTTGCCCCCGCGCCTTGCTGATGAAACTATCCTGTCACGGAACACGAACTGAAATACGTGTTGTACTGCTTTCATCCATTTACGTCGCGCCGGTTGTTTTTTCCCTGCCACTTTCAGGATAAATGTAATCAATGAAGCAAATCAGACTAAGCCCACTCCTTCAACTCTCCCATGCAGGCGAATTCCAGAAATTCACTGCGCCGGAAGCACGAAGAATGTGACCACCCAACCATCATCGACCCAATAATTAGATATTTCTGCTGCTTTCCGTGCAGAGGATCGTGCTGAATTCCGCGGGAGGCGCGCGGCTGCGATTGTATCAGCGATCTTAGCAGTCAGCGGGCACTAAGCGCACTAAGTAAGATGAATACCCGGCATCGCGCACGTGCACGCCCGCCACGTGTGGTTTTCTGGTCACGACATGTCTGACGTTCTAGAAAACAGAACATACCATGCTCTCATATCTCATTTTGAAGTAAACTGCACGTAAAGCAAAAGGTTAGCTCTCATGCAATCATTCGTCTTTTATCACGGCACTCACGGCATCGTTTGCATTGCATTGGCAAGAACATTTGCATTGAAAACACTGCATTAAAAAATATTTGCATTGAGAAGCACTGCATTGACAAAAAAATTGGGAATACATCGGGAATATACAACAATGCATCTTGGCCTGACTTAGGTACAGCAATAACGGCAACACCAGGAATGGTGTACTGCTACCGTTATTCACATATGTACTAAAACAAATGTTGTTCTAGTTGCCCGAGGAACAGACTAACAAGGAGCTCGATTTTGAGCTTCATGACCAAACTGCGTTGAACAAGTCGGATGGTGGTTCTTGTTACTTTACAGTGCTGAACTTGATAACATTCGAAAGTGGGCTCATCATCAGCCAGCGCCTCTTCCCCGCCCAAAAAACATTGTTCCGCGTTGAAAGGTTGCCCAAAAATGGCCTCCTAGACGCCTCGGCGGAGGAGACAAAAAAAGATTGCTAAGCTCGCCGACTTCTTCAGCTTACGAGCGTTTCATTATTGAGCACGGGATTTGTTCGCGCGGGCGTAATCCATTATTGAGAGATCCTTCCGCGAAATGCGTCGGCACAAGCCTTTCATCATGTCTGTGGTGCAAGTTTTTCATCTTGCACCACAGGATATGGACTGATAACTACCTTTGCTTACAGGCACGTCACTAACAAAAGATTTGCCAGCATAATGCCAAGCATGCACGCAGGCTGCAGCATCCTAGATACGGTTTGCAATGCCTATTTTGGAGCAATGACCAAATAGATGCTCTCAGCCCTTACGTTCAACTTTAAGTATTCCCAGGAAGGCGGAATGGATAATTTTTCCTCCAACAAACTCTTACTCTATCAGTGTACGTCGCGTACATTTCACTGCGCTGTGCAGAGCCACGATTCCCAGTGCATTTACCTTCACGCGGCATGGCGATGCTTTCGGTGATAACGCTGCAAACGCTATGTGGTCTTCCTTGCCGATTCGAACAGCATTGAAAAGTTCCGGTTAAGCTCACATTTGGATAACATAAACAGTTCTTTCAGCACAACTTGGTTTCAGCTAAAAAATATGCTAACTTAAGACAAACCTTATGAATTTGGGCTGATATGCCTAAATCTAAAGTTATACCATCGTTCGAGCATGACAGCATGGCATTCTTTTATACTTACATCACCCCAAATACGCAATTTTGGTCTGGTTCGTTGTGCGGACTTTATTTGATTTTCCGAACAAATTTCGAAGGCAAAGTCTCGATGAACCAAACATGTGGCAGTGCATCGTAGCAAACGGATTAGCACACCATTTGTCAGCATTTGGCATATTATGCAACCAGTGTAACAGCGGAGGAAAGACGATATAGCGGTCAGCCGACATTCGTTCAACGAAAGGACGGACGCAGGACAAGTTTGCTCGACTTTTCAGCACTTAGATTACTGGGAATGTACCACATTTGAAGACACTGAAGCAAGTTTCAGATATGATGCAATAAGCTCACTTATAACCATCGCTATACTTTGAAGTGGACAAGACTGCTCTAGACAGCGTAATATCTCTGTTTAGTAAACTTGCTCCTTAATTCGCCATTTCTTGATTAACTCATCATACCTTGCACAACATTGGTTGAGAGTCAATTGACTGCTGTTATATTCGGAAATCGTGCGCACGAACGTCAGATGTGAACATCTAGGCAACCATTTTGTTCTTGGTCTTGGTCGACGTATGGCTAATAGAATGACAGAATTTGAATGAAATTATTATGGCGTCATGGATGACCGGGGACTATGATGTAGTCTCCAAAACAGTCAACTCATCTTCACGGACGTGTAGCTCAGGAGCTAGAGGGGTTTAGGTCTTAAGAAACGCAGGGATGTGAACAACACCGAATGATCTTGAAGATGGGCATTCAGCTTAAAATCCCATGCAAATGTTGAACAGTCCCTTTAGTTCTTAGACTTTGTTGTGTAAGTACTAGGAAGTGGACGTATAGTTACTAAACGGAAACAATCTGAGATAGTCACAAGTCATTTCAATAATGTTGGCTTCCAAAGATGTGTTGGGTGCCGATTAAATACGTCCATTTCCGCGTCACGGGCGTAACTTCACTGCTAGTTGGGATGCAGCTGCATCCACAGCATCTCAGGAAAATTAAATTACACCTATGGTTCTTCAAGCATAGCATGAAGCTAACAGAACTTGTCCAAAGCATGTTCATAAGATGTAGCCTGGTGCTGCAAATAACGAGTGCCTTTCGTATTTAAGCACATATTTTACACAACGGAGGTCAAACCACGGTACGAGGGACCCATCCAGGCAAGTGAACTTGAGCTTTGTTTAAGGGCTGGCATGTTTGGCTCTTGATTTCATTGCTGTGCTTTAAACCCCATTTTCAAAACATTAAACGCCTTACAGGCATGGTGCCACCTTCTAAAATATTGGGGCTAAGCCGATGAGGTTGACCTGTCACGTGCCCACAAAGCCTTTTTTCTCTCTGGATATTGGCCACTTCCATTTACATCTTAAGTTTAAAGCATAACTTTTAAGGAAATCAGGTTGCAATGTCCAAAAATGGCACATCATTATGGGCAACCAAATTAACAATCTACACGCAGCAGAGCATTGTACCTGCAGAATACTCCCTGTTTCGTATTCTGGACTGTCAAGGGAAGTGTACTACCCTAGGGCCGTATTTTTGTATAAAAAAGAAACATGCCCTATTGAAGCCTCAGGACTAGTTACGGCTAAAAATAGTACTGGGTAGTGCCACTGCAGCACCGTTAAGACATAATTGGGAATAAATTTGAATCATTTTCGAGTCAAAATCATGCCATCAACGCGGCCAACCCAGTGCTGCTATGCTTCTTTCCCTCGGTCGCTATCACCGTCGTCGTTGTCATGACAACCTACACGGGCACATCCATCCGGAGTGCTTTATGCTTTGTTACCATTTCTTGCACACACATTTTGACACGTTAGTTGTCTGCAGACATTACAGACACACAAGTTGGAAAAAGCGAGGCAAATGAAATGCGTTGCTTTCACATTGGTGAGCAGCGAGTCACATGAGATTTCTCCCGCGGAGTTGGCTACTGCAAATCACAATTCTGAGCTATTCAGAAGGATTTCGAGAAGACTGGCATCGCTGATCGCATTGGATGGGTCTGATGTAACAATAAGTGAACCTTACGAAAACGGGGATGCTCCCTTCAAGTGGCCCACTTAGAGCACACCTTTTTCGTGATCCTACGGACGGAATCATTAATGACTACAGTATCACTGGTCATGGTTTTCCATTTAACTGTCAGCTGAACACCATCCGTCATGGTTGCATGACAAACACAATTACCACTGTTGGGGAAATGATGGGTAACTTTCATCTAGGCCACCCAATACTTCCGAAAGCTGCCATGCATTGCAGTGAATTGTTCTTTATTGCAGTCCAGGTGTTTTTGTGAGCAACATATGTCAAAAATTTGCAGAAGCACTGATATATCATATAGAGATGCTGGCAGGACAAAATCATAAAGAGGCTTCAGGGCACTATTTAGTACAAAATGGCACACTGTCAATGATGTGTCAAAGTTCTCAGTATACTAAAAATTGGGATAAATTTCCCGCATTTTTTGGCCCGGTATTCCATTTTTGTTCCTATCCATTAGGGGAGAGGCTTAGAACAACACTCGAGTGGTTTCAAGTCAGCACTGGAGGGGCTCATGTTCCCCAAATAAAATATAAAGCCTACTTCTGCCTACAGCTGTCTTAAACTACAAAACAGGATTGATTCCTTTGTCTCCAGGAGTACCCTGCCACTTCATGTGGGGCAAATGACATCATATACTCTCTTACCCCTGCAAATACCCTATTTGACTATGACGCTGTGCATTCAAAATGGCTTCACTCCCTGGGTTTTGCCTGCTTTTCTCTCCCTTTTTGGAAGAGGCGGTGCTGGAGCCCAAGTTGAGGGGGCTGGAGTCTGCCCTACTCCAAATGATAATAGGGAACTGAACCCCTGGGCTTTGACCTAAGTGCCTTCCCAGGCTATGCGCCAATGTGAACAAATATCTTTACTC